TATCGTTTAGGGGAAAACCGAAAAAAATCTGAACGTTGTCAAAATGACAGTACATTAATAAACGCTTTTTAAAAAACGTTCGTTTTTGGCAAACGTATTAACCTACAAAATCTATAGCAAAATAGTAGAATATTGTTGAAATTATTTTTGACACTTTATGGTCTGATTATACCATAAATCGAAAATAAATTATTCATTTCATATCATAGTTACGAGTATAACATTGAGAAAATGCTTTTTTGAAAAAAAGAAACACATAAATCTTTCCATTTCCTTGAAATTAGATTTTTTTCAAAAAGCTGAATCTGTTAAAAAAAATCTGTTTTTCCGTTGATCAGCTGTCGCCCCCATACGAACGACAAATTCTTAAACATTCTGGAATGAGAATGAAATCATCACTTTTTCGGAGATTATTTACCTTTCAAACTATGAGTTTACAGATGACGAAACAGTTGCTAGAAGTTTTTATACTAGTATTTTGTACATGTGGTCTGATACAAAACTTGGTACTATAAGATTATCAAATATGTTTCATATTTGTGATGCACTGTTTGTAATCTTTGGTGTAGTAATAAATATTATTGTAGTTTCTTCTCAATACCAAAGCGTTATTTCAACACCTCGACACGTGTTTCAATCACCAAGTGATCATCTTCAAGAGGAAGATCAAACTAACCATACTTACAAAGCTATCCTTATTTATACCATATATACCTGTTTTAGGTACCTGCGTCTTGAGTGTCTTAAATTAATTTCACAATTTGCCTTATCTATATACTTGTCTTACTTAAGTTTGGCGTAACTTAACTTCTTGTCTTGAGTTTCTATACTTGTCTTAACTCAAGTGAAGGTTCTTAACTTAACTTCTTAACTTAAGTTAAGTTTTCTTAACTTATGTTAAGACAAGTATATAGATAAAGCGAATTGTAAAATTAATTCAAGGATAGCTTTGTAAGTATGCATAGTTTGATCTTCCTCTTGAAGATGATCACTTGGTGATTGAAACACGTGTCGAGGTGTTAAAATAACGGTTTGGTGTTGAAAAAAACTCCAGTAGTATTCATGGTTCATATGATATTTAACATTGAGAAAATATGGTTTCAAAGTCCAAATGGTCTTAGCGATAATACCAACGGCAAATGTCGAGACAATATACTAATATTAGTATCTCAATCTACTCAGGCCAATCTGAAAATCAGATTTTTCCAGCTATTTGACTCCGTGTTATTTTGTAGAGCGTATTATGACATGCCCGCCTTCAGACCTCTCTAATGAGCCTAATGATTGTTTGTTAGTCGTCTCGAACGGGCACAGTACAAATCACGGCTTTTTGCAAAACGATTGTGTATCAATAATAAACGATTGCTCTCGGCCGCCTCACGAATCAACAGGCGGATATATTCAGGATACGGCTTTTCGATTGCGAAATAAATAATTGATCGAATTTATCCTTTTCTAGAGCAAAAGGCGAAATGTACCATGTGCATTGTATGCTAATGATCCATGCACAATCTTTCGTTTCTCAATGAGAATTTGTTGGCGGCTAATTTTCTATATGGTTACATTGGTACCAAGACTGATAAAACATCTAGAGGAAAACGGTGGGTTTAACTTTTGTAACTCTGTCGAAATGAAGTGATTTAAAAATTATTCAGAAGAATGAAGAGCTGGGAGTGGGTTTTCCAATTCATAATATATTATGAACTCATGTCAGATTGATAAGGGAATATTTTTTTTTGGGGGAATAGTTCTTTGGAAAACCTTTTGGCTTTCTTTACGTGTAATATTTCTCCAAGGTTTCGTCTATTTTTCTTATTTTTTGTTTGTCTAGTATTTAATCGGCCTATTTTACCTCAAGTCGAAATATAATTTGTTAAATTATAACACCGAATTCACAAAATTTAATAGTAGTAGTTTCTACTCCGTGAACGCCATAGTTTTTTACAAATATTTGTATATTTACATATTCTTTATATCTTCTTGCGAAACAAGAGCTCTGCTCTTATCGCCAAACCACTTTATTCACATATTTTGTTTTAATTGTACTCTAATCTGTATACGTTGTGAATAAAGTTATTATTCTTTTTTTCACCGTAGTGTGCGCTGGTCAGGCCCAATCCCCCGAAGCCCCGATACATTCGGGAGGGCGCGCCAGCATAATCAACTAATGACCACTCCACGCACCGTGGGGTAAGTGATCATTGGGTCCGAGAATCATGTGCCCTGAGCAAACGCAGTGAGCCAAGAATGACAGCCTTTTGCATCTGTGCGGCTAAGATTTCTGCCTTAGTGCGGCAAGCCGGTATGATTTTGAGATTCGAGAGTAGAGAGGACATCATTACACCAATTGGTGGTATGGTGCGAGTCTCCTCTCCAGCCGTGCCAACGGGTGGTAGAACTGCCACTTCTACCACTTCGTTAGCAGACTGGAAAGGAGCTATATAGCCCTGCCGCCGAAGATAGGATACGTAATCCTTAAGATTTTGGACGGAAAAGGCGGCATGCTCCGGATGTGTTTCACACCACAGAGCATGCAATCTCGCCACGTACTATCTCTCAGCTCATGCGTCCACTCAAAGCGTCCGTTGTCGTTGCCAGGGTTGTCGTCGGTAGGCAAATCATCGTTATGGGCCCCGCCACCTTGCCTGTGACCCTTCCGAGCGGGTCGATTTGGGGGCCTCTTCCTTGATTATTGGGAACCAAGTGTTGGGTCCACCGGGTGGTTAGCCCTGTGGACCCACGGCCGGCACCGAAGGGAGAATAGAGTTCTCCTTCCCGGGTGCGCCTGGGCTGCCGGTCCGGTTTTGCACCAGTTGCTTGGGTAAGTGGTGTCGTAACTCACCAAAGGCCAAGGGTGTTAGTAGCCATCCATGCTTATTCATTATTATTATTATTATACTCACAATACAATATTACATCGAATGTTTCATCGATTGAATATAAATCGCTTCTGTCTTTTATGTGTTGCTTGTAGGTTTTTTCGGTAAAATCGATTTTGCGTGAACGATCAACATTACCATTGTATGTGAAATAGTCATTGAAGTGATTGTCACATACAGTTAATGTAACTACTATTTCAGCAGAAGGTAGGCTGATCATGATGCTTATTGAATTAATTTCGTTCACCAAACATTGAAACTGGTGCTTTACTACTTTTTTCCCTGACTACCCTGAATAATATACTCAATGGAAAACTTGGCTGTCCTCATCTGCTAATTAAGATCAATTTTCATGTGTTACAAGCTACGATTAGATTGAAAACAAAAAATTACTTTTTCATCTAACCTCTCAAACGAAGGTATACTAATTAGGTCCATTGTTGATTCAGAATGGAATTAAAAATAACAGTGGTTCATCAAGTGATAGAAACGGTGATAATTTCAACTCCATTACCGTCTTCAAAACTATAGATATCATAACTTCCAATATGCTTGAATGAAATAATAAAAAAAACTATTATAACTAAAATTAAGAAGTTTTTGGTGGAGAAATCAGTAGGCAAACATTAAATAAATGTCGAAAAGTATACAATGGAAAAAGTGTTTGTTTTGGAGAATATGTGTTTTGGAGAATATGAAGAATATGGTTAAGAGGTACTTACAAACGATGATATGATACTACAAACATAGCATTACTACTAGCTATCTGTATCTGTAGAGTAGGGAGGGTGACTGTAAGCCCACAGCACTTAGGCCACATGTGACCCATTGGACATCCTCCCAAGGAGTTGTCCTCCTAGGTCATCGTCCATACTGTCCTTTCCAGGAAGGTGGACAGGTCTCTGGGAGACATCTCATATATATCGGCAGGTGTAGGCCAAGACTCGCCGAATACATACTGTCTTTTTAACGATAACTCCGGGCACTCGCATAGGACATGCCTGACGGTCTCATCTTCCTGTTCACACATCCTGCATAGAGGTGTGTCCACTAGCCCCATGTTATGGAGGTGTTTCCTTAATTGACAGTAGCTATTTTGAAATCAGCTCAGAACGGCAGATATCAACTTTAATAATTTGCAAAATAAGATCACGTGCTAGTTTTCTGTTCACTTCCGGTGTCTTCATTTTTATCTTTTGAGTTCATAAGTGCCAATATAACTCTCATTCTAAAAGCAAAGCACCAAAGAAACTTATTTTGAAGGCGTTATGTGTTAGTTGATAGAAATAAAATTCCAAATTGTTGAAGCATATTGTATTTGTGGAAGTATTGAAGTGATTAGCCTCGTTTTTAGTAATATATAGCCGGACTATTATTTCCAGTATTCCTTAAACAAAACCAAACATTTGCTTTGCTTTACTTGTAACAAATATTAGGATCTAGACATCCTCATCGATATGGCAATTGTATATGATAAGAAATCGTGACATACAAAAACACTTTTCGATTTCGAGAGAGAGGCATCCCATTACGAGCTTACAATGATTGGGGAGTTTTACGATTTTTCTAGTTTTTTGCATCCATACTTTTCATCCAGAAATAGATTTTCGGATCGTCGGCTCAAAACAAAAGGTAACAGTATTGGAAAATATGTTCAGTATCAATCATGAATAAGTTAAAACAGGAGAAAACCCAAGTGAGATATTTATGGTGGTCGCTGAAGTATCTTGAATAGAGAAATATCTTCGATTATTCATTTTGACTAATTGAGTCCTATCTGTAAGATAATCATGTATCTATTTCAATAGCCGTAAAAGAAAACCTTCATTCTGTGAATAGCTCTAAGGTATGTGTAGACGGAGTCTACTTGAATATTTTTGCAATTACCATAGATATGTAACTGTGGATCTTTCGCTTGCAAAATCATGCCTTGATTTATACTGATGTTTTATACTGCCATGAAAAATATCGAATGTAAAGATTTTCAAATAATTAAGGAAAAACACTGGTAAACGTACTAATATGTATACTTGTATCTTCTTTTTTTTTCGGGCGGGTGGTTGCCTGAAGAAATAATGAAATAATAGCATTATTACAACAGTCAACTTTTTCTTGTTACAGGATTTCGTGGTCAAAACTGCGAAGAGAACATTGACGACTGTCCCGGTCACCAGTGCTTGAACGGCGGCACCTGCGTGGACGGCATTAATTCCTACACTTGCAAATGTAAGTCCACCTACACCGGTCAATTTTGTGAGCAGGACGTCGACGAATGTTCGACGAGACCGTCCGTGTGCCAAAACGGCGCCACGTGCACCAACAGCATCGGCAGTTTTTCTTGTATATGCGTGAACGGATGGACGGGACCGGATTGTTCGGTAAACATCGACGACTGCGCAGGAGCCGCTTGTTTCAATGGAGCCACGTGTATCGATAGGGTTGGGAGTTTTTACTGCAGGTGCACTGTGGGAAAAACAGGTGAGTTTTCTCAGAACGTAAGGAAAATTTGACAAAATAGGGTAATCGAATATTCTACTATTTCGTAAGTATCTAGTCATTCATAACACTGTCCTTCTTGTCAGCAAAAGCAAGTGAAGCTCATATCACGTAAGCATTTTTATAATTTTGATTTATCTACATTACATGACAAGACATTTTTAAAGAATTTCAAAAATGGGAAAAAATGATCAATGGTAAACAAATATTAAATTGAAACATGCCAGATGAAAGAGTGAAGTTCGAGGTATACTGAGTTGAACCTCAAAAGGATAACCAGCCACAAGCCGTCGCGTATTTCTGATATGTACCGCTCTTGGTGGAATAAAATATGCCGAGTTACTTGAACACTTCCCGTGAAAGTACCTATACAAGAGATATAAATCTCCAACCTTTCTTCGATGATCTATGCAATCAAGGTTGCACGTGATGTTCGCGTCTCCAATCAGGCGGATGGCTCTTTTCTGGATGGAATCCAGCAACTTCAGGGTATGTTTGGGTGCAGAGCTCCATACATGAGATCAATACTCCAAAGAAGGTCTGATCTAAGTTTTTTAAAGCATCAAATGTTGCTGAGGTGTGTACAGTTTTCTGGTTCCAAACAGTGTTCCGAGCTATTGAGAAGCAGCCGTTGCAATTCCAGCAACATAATTGTGCCAAGACATATTGATGTCCATTTCAACCCCCAACAAACTTATCGAAGCAGAAAGCGGATTTGTTTGACCTGACATTATTATATCCGGTTCGGGGACATTTATCTTCTTGGAAAAAACCGATGCCTGGGTTTTTGTGGCATTAAATTGAAGCTGGTTACTTTCACCCCAATTCGAAACTACTAGTTCCTCATTAAGATATGCAACGTCCTGCTGCCGGAGAAGCTGCGCCTCCGTAGCCGATGTCCTAGAATCCAAATGGAATGACGAGATAAGTCTGCTGTCGTCAGCAAAGGAATATATTGGATTTTTGGTTTTTTCCAATAAGCCGTTCATATACCTGCAATAAAAAGATGATTGGAGGCAATATGAATCCTTGGGGCCTACCAGCGTTGATGGTGAAAGGGAACGGTTAAATACGTTAAAATTCCCTTTTAGCGAATAGAGAATAGTCGTTTATTCCGGGAAAAACTCTTAATCCTTACCGCTCAAGCAAAGACAAGTATATATGTTCAGATCAGAAAGTATGTAAATGAATATTACTGTGGTAGTTGCCATTCATACGTCTCTCATGTCATCAAAAATAAGCAAAGCAAAGTATTGCTTACCTAATACTTGAAAGTTCACATAAAGCTAAGTTTCAAGAAAGTTGTATTACCATAATTATTTTCAGAACATTAGAGTAATTAGATGCAGGGTTATCAAAGCATTTCCTCTAGTTCATTCCTATTGTTAACAACCTCAAATAACGAGGGGAAGAATTCAATCCAATTGGGCCTTCAAGAAACAACAAAATTCTTGGATCTGTTAACTTCCAATCATTACAAAAAAAATTGAAATTCAAGTTTTCTTTTTGTTGAGAGTTTTATCTTTTTCAGTGAATTCTGGGTAAATATTAGGTTGTTGTTATATATCATATTATATATTTAGGCTACGATACAATATGTGTTGAATTATCTATAAGAATAATTCATTAAGGCCACACTGTAGGTTAATGGACTGACACAACTACTCCCCTCGATAATACCACGCAGGGCGTTGGATTATATCTGTCAGGTGTCAGTGCAGGATTCAAGGAAGTTATTCCTGCATATGCTGTTGGCGATACACCTGCAGGAATCGATTTTCAACTATTGGAACACACTTGCAGGCCGGTTTTGGGCTGTTTGGCCACTCGTCAGTGCAAGGTAGTGTCTATCATCAACATGAAGTCGATGATTTCCCATTATTGAAAATCGAATTCTTTCAGAGTATCTTTCCTCGAACTAGGCTGAAGCGAATGACAAACAACATGTTTGTCATCGCCCCATCTGTCTGTGAAGGAGGTAACAAACCACAAATCCGAATTTGCCCAAATTATGTACAACATGTATTATAAATTATTGTTATATGTTGACGCATCATTAAACCCTGTATCTCTGATATCAAATTTTTCATTGTAGGTATATTCTTCAGCATTAATGAGATAACTACAGTAAAAAACACACCGTTATGATAAGTAGTTCTAGATTATTACTTATATATGAATTTACATACTGGAGCACTTTACTGACAGTGTTTATAAACCTGTCGTTAACATTTCATGACATTTATTCTTGAAACTGGTTCTTCAATTTGTATATCGAAACTTCATTACAATGAAAAATCATCGAGCAATCGTCAGCGGTATTTAATTGGGAATCCGCGCAACTAGTTGGTACCAAACTGGTATTCGACTACATACGACTGAAAACATTCAGTACAAAAAAGAATGCTTTAAATTGTTCTTTGGAAACAAGAGGCAAAACAAAATCTGCAAGAACGTACAGATTATTGAGAAAGAAAACGAACACATACCTTCAGTGCTTTACAGATCAGCGCGATATGAAAGGTAACAATTAATCGCGCGTTGCTGCTTTAAGGTTTGTATAATTAAAAGTCTCTGAAAATAAAAATAAATATTTTCCGTTGCGCTTATGATAATGGCTGCACTCAATTTAATAACCCCCTTTTAGTCTGTCCTTATTTTTTTTTTGAAATTGTTGAGGCGAGTCTTCCGAAAACGGTAATCAATCTGAACCATGGGCTGAAAATAATTTGTGAGGCTTGGAGTCGACAGTTTTCAAAGCATAAAAAGAACATACCTAGATTTCAGGTGGTTCCCGCGTTGAAAAACACAGCTTACTTTCTAGTGCCTTAATTGCAACTCATTTCGGTCTAGATTAACTTTTATTATTAGGTAGTATATTTTTGTATCTCAATGTAGAAATTAAAAAGTTTCGATGATCGTTATATTTTCCTTGTTTGAAATTTCACTAAAATACGTCTAATAGAAGAAACTTTTATGTTGTTGCTGTTTGATCTGTCACTTCTGTACGTAGATACGAAATAAATAGAACGGAAAAATTATAATTTTAGGTCTATTTTGTTGTTTGTCTGTCTGTTTGTCAAGTTTTTTTCCAGTTTCTCACTAACGAAATGAAATATCGATCTGATTTTATTTTGTCGATGACTGGGTTGGGTAAATTGAGGTTTAGATGCCTTCAGAAAAAAATCGAAAAATAGAAGAACTGTTCTCCCATCGATATTCTGATAGTTTTTGTCATATTCAGTGGAGGCTGAGAAAATTGATAAAGTTTATATAGCCTTTTTGTTGTCCTTAAAAGGTGAAAAAAACGTTTTTTCATAACTTCGTAGTACAGAAAAAACTAAACCAGAGAATAAACCAGAAATTTAATTTTCTCTATATTCTCTGAAACCTAGATATCGAAAATTCTTTAAAATACAATTTTGTTTACTTCACAAAGTAAAAATTTAACATTTCCCTTGGAATGTCTCCGTAAAGATTGAGAATGTAAAACAGTATTTAAGAATTACCGAGGAATTTCTTGAGATCCAGTTTCTATCCGAATAGCGATTATTAAAAATCGCGTGCCTCGAAGGAATTAAAATTGAGACATCCATTCTGTGAAATCTCGACGAGCTCAGGTCATTATATTCTCAATGTTTAACGAAAAACGTGTATGTGTATGTCAATACGGACGCATTGTTATTCTTTGTTCGATTTATGTATCACTGTAAATCTGTAAAGTAGGTGTGGCGAGCCGTTCTTGTCAGAGAGTTGAGCGAACTTGGTACATAGCTAGAACGACGACTAGTTTCAAATCTCTTTCCACGTCGGAAAAATCGTAGGCGACTCGGCTAGGCACGATTTCAAACGTTGTTAATTCGTAATAACTTTATATCTGTTGAAGTGCCATTTCGAGTTTCGTATGTGATATCATCGCTGATCTTTGTATCATATTCCATAATACTTGAGATAGGCAATGACCTCGAAAAACAGAGAGGAACAAGTTATGTTTGGTCCATCACGAAAAATTTCCTGTTCAATAAATTTACATTTTTTGAGGAGGTAAAATAACGTAATCTAATTCTTTAAGATTATCTACTTATATATTTTATTATGCACTTCGTCTTAAACAATTCCTCATGGTCGCTATAGCATTATGAAAAATGTTTTGACAGCATCACCGAAAAGAATGGAAAAAGCTTAAAGAATCATCTATCTGATGACCAGTGTGCTCGTATATGAGCTCAAATATATCTTTGGAAATTGACTGCACATGCTGTTTGTCTTGACAAAGATGTCGAAAACGCCAGATTGGAAACGAACAACTGTGACAATGGATTTAATCAGAGAAGAGTCTAAAAACAAAACACTCGTGACCCAACTCCAGGCAGGGCTGTTTTGATATACCATAAGTCTCATCAGTGATGCTAGTCTAAACCACAAATGTTTTGTTGGAGATTGTACTCAACGGCTATGGGATCGACAGAAAACTCGGAAGAGATGCAGAAAACAATGTCCCATCCGGCGGTCGTTATTGAAGCTTGGCTTTGTAAGAGATCGCCGTGGAGACCTTTGCTTATCTGGGATAAGCAACGGTTCGAGTTTGTTCTGAAAAATCTTCCCAAAAAACTTCATTTCTATTCAATAGGTGCTACGAAAAAGTTGTATAAATGTTTCGCTATCTATCATATTTAGGGAACTACAGCGGAATCAAGTGCTTCAACATCCTTCATTTTTACGTAACATTAGTCATTCTACAGAGTTTCAGTCTTGACATTAACGTAACATGTTCATATTAATTATTGTTAATGAGTGTAACTTCTCTGATATGTACTGTGGAAACATGAGACAGAAGAAATATTAGCTTTGTAGAATTTAGTGTGAAATTTCTTTTGCCTCTACTAAGGCAACTAATATGTTAACCTTAAAATATATAAAACGGTGCTCTGGACTATTTCAATCTAACATTTGGTATTATTATTTGATATAACATGTTCTTTCAAAGGTTTAGTCATGGTTCAAGGAAGTAGATAAGTAGTCCCAAAGTAAGTTAACCTATTTGACTGTCTACCACAATTTGCGAGGGTTTATTGTAGGTCACACCAATTCAAACTCAACGAAATGAGTCCAGCTTCTTAAAAACCGATCGGTTTATTTGGTGAGTGATCTTTCAGAGCAGGTGACAAGAGTGAAACTGTGCCAAAACTGTAAGCCTGATTTGATCCACGACGGGGCAGGTACAGAATATGTGCTCTATTATTCCAACGTCCTCCAAGCAGAGATAACTTGCAAGCCTCTTCACGACAGTGAAGACATTACTGAGTTATTAATTACAATCACATTGAAGGTAGATATCAACTATTGTCAAATGTTCTTTGCTAGGTCCTACACTTCTTGGTAAATAGTAAAGAAAATAACCAATATTCGGGGTATTTATACGTCAATTGTTTGAGGTCGCTTTGCTCGAACTGTTAGATCTAATGGTGAGCAAACTATAGGTATCAACTTGTTTTTTTAAGGGCCGGTTTATAGGATACATGAGACATAGCTCAATGAATAATAACAACTTTAATGAAGGATGTCTTGATTGTAATTTTTTCAAGTCATAAAATAAGGCAAGTGTTAGTTTTCAACATCGGAGGACGTGACCCAACAGAAAGTTTATTGATTTTTATGTCCCCGATAACATTAGGAAAGTCGAAGAAGTTTCGATTTATCTTAATTATGCTACATGCGTAATTGATGCTCAATTTTTTTCAGGTCTTCTGTGCCACTTGGACGACGCCTGCACGAGTAACCCGTGTCACGCGGATGCCATTTGCGACACAAGTCCCATAAACGGATCGTACACATGCAGTTGCGCCTCCGGGTATAAGGGAACCGACTGTTCGGAAGACATAGACGAATGCGAACAAGGTACGTTACAAATTATTACATGTAAATAACGCCGATACGTGCTAAACTTTACAACTACTGTGCGTCGTGAAGGTATCAGCGGAGTGTCTGCGAGTTCTGACACGCAGCACTCGTTTTCTGAATATAAATCACGCTGAAAATCTGAACGAGTTGTCAACCTAACGGGCTAACTTGGAAAAATATTCAGAATAGTTCTATCTGGAGTTTGAACTTGAAAATGTCCGTTCCAAAGGTTACCTACAATGTGTTCGATATTCAGTTTCTTATATAATTTGTCTTTATCTAAGAAATAATTTCAAACAGAAGCCAAAAAGTTTTTTGTACAATTTCTTCTAGAAATTATTATTATTCAGTAAATTTATTTTTCTGTCTCGAATCAAAATAACTGTCATGAAGCAGATTTGTCTTTTTCGGTATCAAATAGTCGTAAAATTTCTTGAGGAGTTGAAGTGTTCTCATCCTAAAGTTCCTGGCGTGTCTGTAAGTGAAATTGTATATGAATACTGTTTTATAGGTTATGTTTTGAAACATTTCCTCATTGCATTACGAGTTATTGGTGTATAAATTGAGGAAGAAAAAATATATTTCGTGTAGTTCATACTGTTTATAACGGATGTCTAGTATAAATGTTTTCTCCTTTTTGTATTTAAGAGAAACTTCTGTTTATGATATTTGTGGTGAGTTTTGATTGATATTGTTTTTTGTAAATTGTCAACTGTGTATATATTATTGGAAAAGTAGAAAGTCAGTGAATTTCAACCTTTACTTTGTATCTTGTATTTTGCAATGTTTATCAATACAGTTTTGCTAAATAGAGACCTGCAAGAGAATATCTCAACTATTTCCAAGCTGAGCTTTTGTTTAACGCTAACAATCCATCAGTGGCCTATATTCTCTTTTCAAAGAACTAACCTTCTCTTAAGCAAACTGTGGTTCAAAAAAGATAAGAACAAGCTATTGTCGGATCTAAAAATATCTTTCATCACGTCTTCTTCTGATAGTGATGATTCTGCTGAACCAGAACTTTCTTGGGGATGGCTATGGGTATGAACAAAGAGGGGCCGAGATGAACGCTGGTAGCCTAGATGATTGCTCATTGGCCTGTCGTGTGACTATGAAGTGGCGCTTCACCCTGTGGACGTCCTGGGGCTCGATATTGAAGTCTCATCCTAGTGATCCTCCCCTTTCCTTGTAAATATTGTATATTATATACTCTGTACATTGGACCTTAGATTTACTATAGAGAAATAGACGATAAAGAATTTTTTTTGTTGCATATCTGCTCTATATCAGATATTTACGGAAAATTGATTACGAAATTGCATTTAATTTCGTTTTGAAATTTCAACTTCGATTAGGAAAGACCTTTATTTTCGATATTTGATTTGGCAATTTTTTAAATACACATACCATTCACATCTATTTAAGTGTTCAAGCCAATATGTCCAATTCAATCCATTAGTATTCTGAAATAGTGAACATTTCAATTCTTGTAAACTATAGAAAACGTCTTTCTAAACCTTCTATTTCTTTGAGTCAGTGAAAATATTCATTATTTTGTGCACATATTACTCTCATATTTCCCAAGAATTTCCTCGATATCTAAAATAACTTGTTAGCTTGTGAACTTCCCCGACACTTTCATTTCAATGAAGTAACTCGGTTCGAAAGTCAATTATGTTCTTGAAAAAGTATTTTGGCACAAAAATGGTTTCATGCCATAAAAGCAGTTAATGACCATACACGCTATTTGTGAAATGGCTACTCGTCCTATTTCGTTTTTTCTCTCGATAAATTGAACACGATCATTAAACAAGATTAAGTCCTCCTCAACATTTGCATTGCTTCTATCCAATTATTTCAGAATTTTAATAAATCGGCGTAATCCTCCATAACTCTCTTATTTTGCATATAAATGTTAAGTAATGTTCTTTCTTGAGGAATACAAAGTTGTGTAAATGATACGGGAGTCAAGAAGCGGTAGCTAATCGTTCTAGATATTTGTCATTTGAATGTTTTTCTCATTTTAATAGATTTATACATAGGTTTTTGATATGACCGTTTTTTTATTGGGGAGGATATTCTTTTACTTTTTCTTCTGTTGAAATTTTATTGGGCATAAGAGTAGCATTTACTTGCACTTTTGTTTTTTGTACCTATATACGTAAATATACAATATAAGTCTTCAAACAAAAAACGTATAATTCTTGTCAGCAATATTATTTATAGCAATGAATTCGCGTAACATGTAATTGTCAACTATATGGATGAGAAGTTAGAGCAATGTTGTGACGTGAAATGTTTGATGAAACTCGGAAATAACTGAAAAGTCATATTATTCTTCAACTATAACTGAATTTTACTTTATCTAGTGTCAGGGACGACAAGAAAAGTATAATAGGACTGAGATGGGTTCCTTCGAAATAGAGCATTAATTAACATTGCTAGCACGATTTTTTTTTCTGTAAATGGTTTTTTGTAGAACATTCGGATTTCTATTAGTGGAGTTATTGAAAGTTGATGCCTAAGAGTACCTGAAACAGCAAACCTACCCACAATTAGGTTGTCAACTTGTGGAAACTGACGAATTTTCGTACGAGCGGAAGATTAATTTCGGGGGTCCCATATGCTTGAGACTCTTCGCGTTTTAACCCTCGAATTTCAAAATTTTAATATCACTACAGTTCTAATTATTACAAAAGTTCAGGAATAAATACATTTCCTACTACGGCAACGAAAGGTCAAATTTTCATAAACTTTCTGAAGGGGATGAAAAACAATTTCATACTTTTTTGACCAACTTCATAAAACCGTAAATGCTTGTTTGTAATGGTGTTATGTGGACAATTCCTAGAATGTGTTGTCAAGATTTCAGAAAGGAAGCATACATTTCTATGATATCATGGTATAATGTAGTACCGTTTCTCGACCAGAACCAAGACACAATTCAGTGGTGCGGGAGTGGGATCTACTCAACAAAAAAAATTGAAAATGAAAGAGACTCTACACGTTTTATATTGTTATGTGTCGCCAAGAAACTTATCGAAACGGAAAAGCAATATAATAGTCATTTATATTAAATATCTAACGACCGAATAAATAAATGGATAAAAATAAAATGGATCTACATAATTTCCTTTTCCCAGAACTAGTTACTGGTGTTTTTAGCAGTTGAATAAATGTTATGAATGTTTCCCATTCGATTTCATACTCCAAATATAGTAATAAGTGGCTCACAAACTTTAATGTGCTCAAGATATTTTTCTGTTCTACCCAGGTTATTTATTGTATCTCAATCTCAATATTGAATTTATGCTTTATTCGAAGAAATTAAAAACTCTGAAATCAATACTATAATTCAATATTAAGATCCGCTACAAAAACCTAGAAATATATACGTCTTATTCTAAACGCTACAATAAAACGAAGGCACGAGTACTTGATATTTTTCCATCGTATCTTACTTCCAGTTTTGAGGGTTCAACTAATAGTTTTTCAAATAGCATACAACAGCCGGCCAGGGGAGTTTTATACACGAGTATCTGTTTGAAAAAAAATCTGTTTTTCCGTTAATCAGCTGTCGCTCCCATACAAACGACAACTCTCAGAAGTTGAGAAACTTGTGCGAGCTGAGGACTAACGAGGTCTTACCTTTTAACGTCTGATTCCTAACACGTTCAATACAAATTAGTAATCTCCAATTCAACAAATATTCAAATCAAAACAGTATCAAATCGCTGATTTCCAAGTTTTCTGTCGTTATTGAATTAGCACTTTCCACTTGAACTTAAAGGAAGTGAGCAAATACTCTTATCTTACTCTATATGCCGTCTACATAAACATTTTTCACTCTTAAAAAGCCAAGTCATCCAGAAGTAACAAGGGCTACCTACTTTCTATCTTATTATTCTCACGAAGTCGCTGGCAAGTTATGATAAAACTTTGACAATGACAACGATAAAAATTACAACTCTTAATTGCACCCTTTCGAAGCCAGTACGGTTCGATAGTTATAGACATAATTTCGGAAAACCTACCTTAACAATTGATTAACAGTTCTGTTTTCAAAACTTTCAGTAAGTAGATTTTTTGCCTTTGATAGGATAGTGATATATCATGGCGAGGAAAAAGTGGAGGTGTAGTAAGTCATAAGAAATATGAAAGGTTATTCAGAAGGCCGTCTAAAAGTCTTCATTGTTTGTTTTTGCATGTTTAGGTACCCAAAATTCGTTCATATCGTTTTTGGAATGATTTTATGATTGTAAAAGTCGACAAAAGAATTTCTTTTTTCCTAGTGAAACGTCGTTAAACGGCGATCTAACTCAATAATAATAATATTTTTCTCATTACGAATGCTCCCAGCAATCAGTCCTTGTAATTGATCGAACCAGTTTTGTAATAGTTAAGGATAACATGATTTATCCGAGTCATTTGCCCAGAATACACAATTTATAGTAACGTGAATCTGAATATACACTGGTTACATGTCTTTAATAATTAATACAGCGATTTGCATTCAAAATAACACAGAGATATAACTCCGGAACAGTTGAATTAATGCGATATCAATTAAGAACACTAACATAAAAACGAGGTATTCATCGAGACAAGGCACAGCATGGGACTCTAACACATGATGGAAGTATGTGCTTCGAACTGTGACTTGGCGATTCTAACATGGTTCGTGAACAAGTGGGATCAGGGCTCAACGATGATTTCACAAGAAGATGACTAAATAGCTATCCATGATAATCTTCATCGGAGAAAAATCGAAACTCATCGTAGAAGTCATTTGAAAGTATAGCATCCTCCTATTTTGCATTAGAAGGGCTGAATCCAATGGGTGCCTGGGTTTAAAACGAAATCACTGATAACCAAGAAATTCAAAGTAAACTCACATTAAAATATTTTGACTGTTCTGTAACCTATACCACTTCGAATCGTTTTAAAAATTATAGTTCAATGTTGATCCGAAATTTCACCTCAAATATGTCTTGTCT